CTAGTATTGAACAGCCCTATGGTAGTATTTCAGTATTTTCTCCACAGATAGGCCATATGACGCAGTGTAGTATTCATGTAACTTTGTATTAAGTGCTTTCAAATTGTATAAAAATAGCCTTATAATTTTTCTTTGCTGAATTGAAACACGTAATCAATGTTACAGTCAGGAAATGCATTTAAGAGTAACAAAGCCACATTTACACTCTCATGCCCAAATTCTTCTGTGGAGTTGCAACAGGGAGGAACCAGGCTGTGTACGTTCAGGAAATGTTTCCAGCATTGGAAAATGCTTCTGTAGAAAACGAGAGTTTGCTCACAATTTATTTGGCATGTGCTTCTTACAAACTGTCAGCATTAGGGCTGAAAAGACTGTAGGCAATCTCTGTCCTCCCAGGCAATGAGGATCATTCCTGATGGAGAATTTCCAGGTGCTTTGTTCAGTCGTGCCAAGTGCCTTCTACCATTTCCACTGAAAGATTATTCTAGTTACTAAAGCTCAGAAGGTCACATTTCCCCTTCCCCCGAAGCTGGAAAAGTTGCAGGACTGTAAATTAATGTCTGGTGCTTGTAAAGAGGCATGCTGTACGTGTGGGAGGTTTATACATAAACATCTGAATTCTGGATTAAAAACCAACACTGTGTTACTATGTATTTGCAACTTTAACTTATTAGGTATGTCCTCTACCTTGAGGTGATGGCTTAGTCATCTAAATGTCAGGTTAGGATTAGGCTAGACTCCCTGGCACCACAGATTCTAATCTTGGCAGGGCTGATGCAAATCTTCAGTTTTCTGAGGTGGCTAAATTGGGTTGAACGCAGTTTTACCACGAAGGTCTTTCAGATGAGACCTTAAAAAAAAACCAAACCAAAATCAGGATCCTGTTTACTGCAGATCATTGAAGACTCGACTCTGCTTTCTGGCCAAGCAGCTGATAAAAAGTCCATTCTTTTTAAATTTTTTGCAGTGAGTTGTTTGCTGATTTTCTGCCTGGATGCATTTCAGTGATGATGTGTGTAGTAAAGTTGTAAAGTGCTTTTGGATCCTTCAACATGAAAGGTGCTAAATAAACATTTTATTAATGCAGCTCTGATGTTTAAAAGCCATTTTTGGGGCAGAGGTAGTCTGACAAAAGACAGCAGTAATTTTCCTCAGGCTCCTGGGTTGCACAACCAAAAATGACTCCTCAGTTTCACTCGGAGTGATCAAGTGAATAAAAGACTGCCATATCTACATGAAGCACCAGTGCCAATAAACATAGCAATTAGATGCAAGGGATAAAAAAAAAAAAAAAAGAGCATAAAACAAATGAGAAGTTTTTCACTTGATTCAGCATTTAAGAGCTCCAGCAATACTACCCCATGCAGTCAAAAAGAGCAGATGAACCTATGCAAAATTTATGAGTGAAAGGAAATTTTAGACTAAGTAAACTTGAAATAGGTTGGGAGACAGCACACAACCAATGAGACTGACTAAGTCTAGTGGCGATTAAATCACAAAGGTTTGCAGATCAAACATTTCCCTTTTAACAGATGTGTTCTCTCAGGTACATGGAATTTTCCTTCGGTAACTAAGTAATATGCAGGCAAGTATTCACACTCTAGGGCCAGCTATCTCCTCATTTGTTCAAAAGCTTTAACTATCTACTTCAGTGGAGTTGCACCTTGCAATACTGGTATAGATGATCAGAGAACAAGGCATAGAAATGAAGCGTTTCTCACTGAGTTTTAGTAGTAAAGATATTCATCAAGTATTTGGTCTTAATAAAAAGTATTGCTAAATACTGCACTAGCAAACAAAAAAAAAAGACTGAGAGGAAGGAGCGCGTGACTGAGAAAAGATTCTTACAAATCTTTTTGTAAAGCATCCAGATTCTCATAATTCTATTTCTTCCAAGGTTTTACTCCTATTAATAAGGCGGAATTTTCCTCCTTAAAAGGCCGACAACCCCCTCAACTGACTTTAAAAACAAAAAAAAGGCAAAAAATAGCAACGCTAGGAAAAAAAAACTCAGCAAATTACCGTAAAGGATCCAAGAGACTTCAACAAAAGACTTCCAAGGGAAGACACCTAGAAACATTCTTTGAGGAACAGAAAACAGCAGTAGAACCTCTTCTTTCGCTGGTAAACTTGTCAATTAAAAAATAGGTTGTCAAAATAAAACCTGCCTGGCAAATTGATCAGTATGTGGAACAAAAACTCTTACTGTTGAGGACAAAACAGAATTATACAAATTGAGTCCAACCTCTCAAGTCAAACACTTACCTAAAACACTAGATTACTGTGCTTTGCGCTTCAAAGAAAATATTCTATTGGTAATTTTCTATTGAATTTTATTAACAGATATCTTTTTAACTGTAGAGAAAAATCAAATAAATGTTTGTAAAATAGATACTTTGAAAGCGTCAATATTTCTGTGGCAGTGGAAACCTCCAAGGCCTGTTACTTGGGGAACACCACTACGGTTACTCTTTCTTGGATGTTCTTGTTATTAATTGCAGTTCAATTGTGCCTGAGGGTTGTTTTTTGAGGGGGAGGGACAGATTTACACTTTATACACGGTTTGGCACTACCTGAAGTTCTCAGTATCATATAGGCTGGGTACCTAAGCGGGCCGTTGTTATCTTACCTTTAAATTGGTTTTCCAGAGAAGCAAATATCCAACAGTAAGGCCACAGGCACCGGGTCAAGCTTTGCCAGGAGATTACATGCATCTGCTGGCTCTCAGCCCGCGCTTCCGCGACACAGGTAGGTGACTTCAGGTCTAAAGAACGCTTCTAAAGTGGGAAAACAGTGATGAAGGATAACAAAGGAAAGAAAATGAGAGATATTTGAAACACGCCCATTATGTCTGCAAAGAACAATTTACTTTGTCTGAATAAAATTAGCCTCATCAGACAGATATTTGCCAATCTGGAGATAGCTACCCAAGAAGTAACAGACTGTCAACAAGATGACTGCTTAAAGGGGAAACAGACTCTGTAATAAAACAGACTCTGTAATTTTAATTCTAAAAGAAAGAGTCTCTGAATTGAGAGACTGTGCGATCTTGTGCCTGGAGGAAGTATCTTTAGAAGCCATCATGACCACCAAACAAATTTAGAAAAGGCACGGTAAGTGTAGGTAGCCTTCTATGTAAGGACATTGCTGTTCCCGTCTGGTCTTGAGGCTGTCTATGTATCCTGTAGGATAAACAAACACAGGTCACTCAGATTTAAACATACCTACAAAGTCATCAGAAAACTACAGCTTTTGAAATTGCTTTTGGCCCCAAACGGTAACTGCCCTTAACAATTAATACATGAGTGTTTTGCCTACAGAGATGGGAGTACAAACCTATTTCTTGAGGGACTGACAGCATAGCAAGGAATATAAATATATTTAAATGAAAGAAGCAGATCGAGCCTTAGGCAAGGACTCTGGAGCAGTCGGTAACATAGCCTGCCTTGGGGGGACTTGTGAAACAGCTTTTTACACAGGAGGACTCCAGGGGAAACTGTTGGTTTTTTTCGCAATAGATTCCCATCATTTCATTTTGTGTCCACTCTAGGAGAAGGGCATATAGATAAAATTAACCTCAATTATTCCTAACATGGCTCCAGGCCAGCTTCCTCCTTTTGTAAATTAAGGAAAAGCAAATGGAAAAGGGAGGAAAAAAAATCTTTGAAAACAAGCTAGCAGGAATAGGTACGTTTAACTGAAGTCAAGCTCACGGTGTGAAAGAGCAGGGCTTTTTTTCACGGTGTGAAAAAGCAGCTACGCAGGGCCCGGAGGGCGGCCCTCCTGCCACATTCAGTCAGCAAGAGGATCCCACTACAACAAATGAAGAAACTTTATAGCTCTCTGGGGGATAATTTGTTTCAAGGTATGGCATGTGAGGCTAAACAAGACTCCTATTTCATTAGGAGCACCATGAAAGCAATCTCCTTAAGAGGGCCTGTTTCTTAAATGGATTTAGAAGATGCAGCCAGGCCAATAAATTAAGCAGTTATTTAAATCAGTAAGTACGTGCATATGTGTGTATTCACAGTTTAAGCTGGCTCGAAAGTTGCAGAACTCAAACAAGTTAAGGGATTTTAGAGATCAGGTGAAAAGCATGGAAAATTTTAATTATATATTTTTTTCCACTGACATCAGTTTTATCTCAGTTAACGAGAGAGAGGCAGTACAGTCTTTTCACACATACACACGATGAGCAAAATCTAGAACCGCCAAACTCTAATCCCACTTCTCACAACATGAACTTCCACTGCAGCCTGGAACAAGTTTGATTTCTGTGTAACAAACCTCCACAGATGAAGGAGTTACCTGGTATGAATTACAAAGCCTACATATCTACTTGGCATTTCTGCTTTTCAAAATAATCCTGTTACAACGTAACGGTTCGCTAAACACTTGTACAGTGCTTCCATTGTTTTTTATGATCTATGTTATTTTGTCAGTCTCTTAAACTGGTCTGACATAGATGCTGCGATACAAGTGCTGACCCTTGTTACGTGCACGTGTAGCATTAAAAACAATTAAGTAACTTTAATGAGATGTTTGTTTCAAAGACAAGCACTATTAAGGGAAGAAAAGGTATTGAAATGCGCTAACAAGCTGCAAGGTGATTTCCGCTCTGCCCTTTAGTGACAAGATATCATAATCAAATGTCTGTGACAACATGGTGTTCAACTGCAGTAAATTCTAATGTTTCTTCCAAATGTCACTGTAGGCTACAGCTGTACATTTCCATACCCTAATTTGTTTGGATCTCTTTCAAGTCTGACCTTAATTCTAGGTATTTCCTGGATTTATAATACTTAGCTTGTGAATATTTACAACATACCTTTCATATGTTTTGTCCTCAATAAGCAAATGTACTCTTAACCTTCATTCCATCTTAACAAATAGAACAATGTACTTTATTAAATTGAAAAACTCATGCACAAACAACAAGCAAGCGGCTCAAAGAATGCTACCTTGCAGTTTTTTCAAATGATTGGCAGATACAAAGTATGTCAATCCTTTAATTACTGTTTATTTTAACTTTTATTGCCCAATTCAGGGATACACTTTGGCTACTTAATGCTGTGGTAGAGCAGCACAAAATAACACAGCCGTGTTGAGATGCATGTTTCACTCGAGCATTGCTGAGCAGCTCATCTGTCCTCTGCAATCTCCCACTCTTCCCTGCCCCGTGAATCCCTGTCCACCCACCCGCTCTCCACTTCAGCCTTCGCCTGCGTGTGCGCACAACCTCATCACCACGTGCTTCTTTCCTGTCTTCAACCCCACCTTTTCCTACAGGCATCTATACACACCCCTTTGGCCTTCCTGCTGCTGGGTAGATGGGATACAATAGGTATCTTCTGAAGATCGTTATTTAGAATAAGCAACAAATTGCAGGCCATTGCTCACTAACTGATCGCTCATCTTTAAGCAGAGGCTATCATACCAAACCTCACAAGTCATCCATCTTTAGTGGTTGGTTTCCAGCCAGACATACGTTATGGTTGGCGTCTTCTCCAACACTCCCTACAGTTCTCAGTGACAGTGAAACCAAGTCTTGTGGTGTCTGCTGCTGTCCAGACAGGAGAAAGGGCTGCTGAATTGCACGAAAATGATGTCAGAGAAACGCCCAGTGACTTCAGACCTCTTGACCACTGCCCCAAACAGGCAGCTGCCACAGAACTGTCTCTGCTGTTGCAGGAATTTCAATTATGGACCAATAAAAAAATGAAAAATAAAACTGACCGGACCACAAATGCCAAGTTTCTTGAAAAATGCATTCTGTAAAGTCATTTCCTAATGAAGTAAACCGATTCACTTGCAGGTTCTCAGAAAAATCACTTTATATTCGGAGTGATTGCTACAATTTTATGGAATATCTTTCCATCTGTAACAAAAAAGCTGAATTCCTACTTAAAATGGAAAACTCCTTTTGTTAGCTGCAGCTGATCCCCATCTAAATTTGTTACTGTGCTCCATTTTACCAGTTAAACCTTTACTCATTAATATCGCATTATTCCCTGTTCTTTTATCACCAGTGAAACGTTACTGTTCTAGAAATGCTAAATCCCACATTTATCCACAGTGAACATGTACTCTGCATCTTCACTACTTCTATAAAAAAGCAGACGTTTCTCTGATACTTGCTTTTTCAACACTAACACATCTACAATGTATTTCCTACAAAGTTAATCAGTATAAAATCTAGATCAAATCCATATCAACTATACAAAAATATAACAACTATTTCAGGACAAAGGTTCTTCTTCAGTACCAAACCTGCCTCTGACACAGAGATAACACTCCTACCAGTATCAGCAGGAGATCCACGCAAGTATCTGAGATGCGTATTATGCTTCTAGACCTACAGAAAACTTCTGATGCCATGTGACATGCAGGACTTGATTACTAAAAAGTAGACTATAGGCCATGTTTATGGTGAGATCCCAAATGGCCTCAGTTGCAGGTGAGTCATACTGCTTTTACTGCCACTACTTCTATGTTGCGTGAATTAAGAAGCTGCTAAGTTTAAAACTGATGACTCTCCAAATACACAGAACTTGCTAAAAGGAACCAACAATGCCCCAAGAACTGCAAGGTCACTAAGTCTGTATTTTTAACAACACAAGGCCTTTGTTATTATAAACTTCAAAACGAAACCAAGGAATTCCACATAATATTTATACTTTCAAAAGTACAATATTAATACAGGTCGGTCAGTTAGAAATAACAGCAGTTTGTTAGGTCTACAAGATTTAACGTAAAACCGGTTTACAAATGCTGAAAAGCAGTAGTGGTCCAATAGTCACCATTACACATGAATTTCTCTCTTCCAGAAAATAAAAAAGTCCCAATTCAAATTTACCAGTATCAATGAAATATTAATAAAACACCCCCAAACATGCCACAATCACTATTCACAAATAAAGTTAAAATGAAATATACAAAAATTCACTTAATACTGTTAAATAACAATAAACTACAAGATTTCCTGAACAGAAATGGTAGGACCCCTGAATGTTTTACAGTGAATGTCAGGAAAAAATTAAGTTACCTATGACTATTTTCATGATATACCAGCCAAAGATTTACATGACCATTTCAAAATATACCAATAAAGATTTACAGTCTCTTTAAGATGCACTAAACAAATAAGTTCATAAAGGTGAACACAAATGCTTAAAAATACTGTAACCATCACCAAGGGTGTACTTATGATACTCACTGAGATGCATAAGCATAGTAGTAACATGTTTACTATCTCTGGTAAACAGATAACATCTAAGATCTGAAAAACTCTCTAAGTTCCCATTTAAAAAATTCTGTAGCATAGTGAGTTCTTATCAAGTACAAACTCGCATCTTTCCAGTTGATTTCAAGTGAATAATGTAGAAATGGGACAGCAACAAGATGGGAAAAAGTGACCTTATTCCCATACTCTCGTCATTAGTTATCTTGTTCTTCTGCAATGAAAAGAATTCTACATTTCATAAGTAAAACAGGGTACAATGTATATGACTCATCTTTTTGCTGTCTGTATTTCTAACTAAGTTAAAAAAAAAATGTACAAAAAGTCATTGCTTCTGCAGGCCCCATATGCACAATAACGTGCAAATATTGTATGCTGGAGTAACCCTGACACAATTTATCATCCAGTCTCCATGCTCTGACTTATCAGTAACTAGTAGAGGATCTGAGAGCAAATAATAGTTAACTGTTCACTTGTTTGAATCAACTTTCACACCATGTGCTTTTCAAAAACATAATATGCTTTATAATTTTTCAACTATTTTAACACATATTTCCAATGTTAAATAAGAATTAAGTGCCATGAACTTAGAGCGTTAAAAGATGGTTCACCTATAGCCAAGCAAAGCTATGTTTACATTCCAGGAAACACTGCAGTTTAAGAAATACAAAAAAACCCGCAGCAGTAGAACATTTTATGAAGAGAAACAGATGCATTCACATATTATAAAGCCATTGCAACTTCTTCAGGCATGGAACTGTTGTGTTAACTATACAGACAGTAGTTATTTAGCAGCAATGATTCCGCAATAAATAATGCACTGTGTTTCTCAGTCCTGCACAAAAATTGCAGCTACAGTTACATCAACAGCTGTAACCTACTGGCTCTAGTGGCAGAGGAGACCTTAAAACCAACTGTACAAAAAATTGTCACACTGTGACAACAAATATAAAAACATAATCTGCAGGTTGGAAATAAAAAGACTCCACTGTGAAGAGGACAGTGTAGACAAACTGCGATTCCAAGTCCACCAAAAGAGAGAACTGCCTTCGGATCCGAGTCCTTGGCTGATAGGATAGGCTTGGGCTTGACTCTGCATCGCCCGCTTTAAAAAAGCATGCTCTGCCTTCTGTTCTTCCCATGTCCTACAACAGAACATGGACCATGGTAAGAAACCGAAGCATTCTCACAACCGAGTATTCAATTATTATCCACCTCTTCTCTCTTTCTGTGTCAGAATATTCTCTGTGTTTAATTCGATATCAGCATCTTTTCCTAATTGCACTTGTTGCTTTCTTTTTTCTTTGCCACAATAACGGTTGGAAACTCCCAAGATGATCTCGTATTAACAGCCCCTCTACCTATCTCCAGTTAAATTCATCTACTTTTGTGCATTTAGAGTATGTTTCTAGAGGAGTCTAAGCGAGTCACTTTCCGGTATTTGCTTGAGTTCAGTCACACAGACCAATTTCACAAAATATTTCTTAGTTTAGAATGTCTCTGGCATAGCATTCAACTTGCATATATGAGAAAATACCAAACTTCCCATACCTGTCTCTGGGTAAGTGGAATTTCGAAAGCCAGGGTCTTTTTGCAACTGAATCTCTTTTAGACTGAATATTGAAACACCTGGAACAGTAACAAAAAAAAAAAAAAAAAGAATAATTCACATCCATGCACAACTATGCTTTACTGAACAAAATTCTATTCTTAATTGTACAATTTAAATAAGGGAAAAATGTTTCTTATTCTCAAATACATAAAAATCAATATATACCAGACTGCTTAATAGATTAGAGAGTTTTTCCTTAAAAGCATGCTTAGCTTTAATGTATTATCTTAACAATACTCTGCTGCTTTACTGCTCCTCTTACTTTCAGGCAAAGTGTGTATCCTTGTTCCAAGACTTCTGAAGTATGCATGTTTCATGGCCTCTTCTGCTGAAATTCTCTTCTTTGATTCATACTATTAACATAAATGGATATATGCACATTGGTTTTTATTGAAAAAATTATTTGCATTGAGTGATTTCATCAAAGGAAGAAGTATAGTTCTACTTGCTCAATGTCTCCCACCAACTCACTAGGATACATCTTTGTTGTCATTACTTTTTTTCACACATGAAAATCTAACATATGTTATCTAAATTAGTATTATCGACATGTAACAAGACTGCTAAAATAGTCAAAATAACTGCTGTAAATTGATGCAAATCAAAAACGTACTTAATCTTTATTTATAGCTGTAACAACGATTAGAAGACAAGACTTCTGCCTACTTTATATACCAATATTAAATTGCAATAAAATGCTATATCGTGAGATTAAAAAAGTTTTCCAATCAGAAGGCATTATGCTAAAGCATTTTGCATAAAGTGGAACTTTAGACAACGTGGTCTTCAATCTATGCTCAACATGTCTTATGCCTGGAATCTGGACAGCAAAGATGTGGATGGACATTTCATTAGAAAAACTGTAGAGAAGGAAGAACTAACTTCAAACAAGGACCACGAACACTGTTCTCGCAGGTTGTGTAAACAGATGAAGAACCGATATAGAATTTAAATTTTTGGCTGCAATGTAAAGTAGGATAAGCGCACTCCATCTTAAATACTAAGAATTTTTAAGACGGTAAAGTGGCACTGCTTCTGCCATCCAGTCAAAGACTTACAACAGGCCTTCCATCTTGCTTCCTAGCACATGACTCATTTTTAAAGCAGATTAAAAGATTAAACACACATACTACTTTACCATCTGAATACAGACAGTGTACAAGAGCAAAGAGTAATATTACACCTTAATAACTGCTTCCCTACTAGTAAACTAAGCCCATTGTTGCAGAAACGTAGTATTTGTACCTAAAAGTTCTTTTTTAATACCTTATTTCACAAGAGCTTTAGATTTTCAAGAAATTATTTACATAGTCCTATCATATTATTTCAAAATTGAGTAAGAATATTGCTCTTCAGAAAAGAAAGAATTTTCTGGCAGAAGAAACTAAACATCAACTTTCAAATTCCTAGACCAAGTAGGCTAACAATCACTCTTTCCAAACCTGTCTTCCACTACAGACTCAGCTGCATATTCTACTTTGAGCTAGATCTAACAGATACTATAGTTTGTCATAAATTTTAGAAATAATATATTAAGGCTCTAAACTTGACTTTTATAAAGCAAAGCCACAAAAGACATCTTACTTGAAGAAACTTCGCTATCAATTCAATTCCTTCTGTGTCTAGCCTGAAAAGAAATACATTTTAAAAATTAAAAGTTTTTGAACTGTATTTACCAAAGTAAACTTGCAAAAACGATATCAAGTTTGAAAATAAAACTTAAACAAGACAATGATTTCACCTGAACAACTTTCGTCCATGTTAACATGCATACCTACAAACGCCAATATCTCATAACCCAACTGCCAGAGAAACACTGGTGAAATATGAATCCTGAGCTTTGGACTGTGATGTAGGAGGAGGATCAGGATCATTTTATTTTAGCAAAAAAGCTTGCTTCTTTCAAGCCTAAGACTACTCCTTTATCGGAGGACAAAAAGTCAAATCGTTTTCTTTAGAGTCAAAAAGTAATGCATTAGGCTTTGCCATCAAGTTTATTTAGGGTAACCGTGTACGGATACAGACCCTTCCAATTCCTCATAATGGCTTTAGCATTCTCTCAAGAGACTGCTCAAGGAATTTTTGCCATTTTAACAATGAGTCTATTACATAACAGGAGAGATCTGGACTATTTGGGAAGTGCTATTCAAATAGCAATTCCTAACACTATGCAGGTATTACTAATAGGAGTTTATAGTTCTATAGGTCATTATGGAGTTGTGGTGTCTTGAGTGATATTACGCAAAGTAATCACAGAGTACCAGGATTATAATTTGCATTAATATCTGCCCACAGTAATGCAACTGATAAGTAGTTTTCTAACATTCACTAACACACCATACTTGGAAACATGCTCACATTAACAAATATGCACAGGGATACTTATTTTCTATTAATAAAACACAAAGTACCTTGGTGCATGGTTGATTAGGGGTTGTGGTTTATATTTAGGAAAGTTGTAGTTTCTAAACTCATCACTGGAAGAAATGCCTGGCCATGTTTCTTGACATGGGGTTCCTACATTAAAAAAAGAAAGAAAAAAAAAAAAAAAGAGAAGAACCTAAATAGTGTAAAGAAGCAAGATTTATATAAATAAACATTCAATTTTGTAATTTAAACAGGAAAGAAAAAAAAAATCAATGAGTCTGCGCTGTACAAATTCAGCTATGCACGAAGGGATCGAGAGTACACTCATTCGCCTAGAATACAATGGAATATAAAAGGTCACTCTTTATTTATAAAGACCTACAGTTCTCAGGGAAAAAGTGTTTAGAATAATAAAGTAAATGTATAGATAGTAACATTACTGCTAAAAGCATCCATTTACCCAGAAGTCTGAAAATTAAGTGCAGTTCATCTTCAACAGTCGAACCAGGAAAGAGAGGCCTTCCCGATGCCATTTCAAAAAATATGCATCCAACACCCCTTTATAAAAATGAAGAAAAAGATAGATAAGAGACAATTCATCAGTTAAAACTTTCAGGTCTTCAGGACTTTTGTGATTTGTCTTAAATTAAAACAAATTATTAAATTAGTTGTTAGCCACATGCTTCTATTAAAAAAAATTGTTTTGAAAGAAGATATGCAGCAGTGAAAGAATCACAAAAGACTAAACAAAACCTCTGTCACAGCTATATTTTATGCTCTTTCTTCAGATGTCAAGTTTATCAACTGCACTGAAGTTTATAATAAAATACCACATTATCATGAACATGGATTTCTTTTCCTACGACAGTGGTCCTGACGTATGCCTATTCTAAGCAATAAAGAGATACTCTGCATTTTTAAAGAGAAGTACCAGTATCTTCCCTGTGTGCCAATCCTGTCTCTAAAATCTAACTCAATTTGTAGCCTTCAAAAATTCAAAGGATTAGTATTTGAATGCTGCTATATAATAACGAAGAACTGACATTTTTCAATTGACGAGAATAAAAATTAACATGTAACAATACTATACAAACCACATGTCAATTTGAGTTGAATACTCTGAAGATCCCAGGAGAACATCAGGTGGTCTGTACCATAATGTGACAACTTCATTGGAATACGTCTTTGTAGGAACAGACTTCGCCCTAGCCAACCCTTCATAAAAAGGAAATAAAAGATAATGTGCTGTTTCTGGGCATAATTCTTCCAAATACTGTGCATCTCTATCTGTTTGTGATTCCATTTTCTTTAAATGAGGAAGAAGGTCCAAAACACTGTGTTACATACATCTCTTTTTGCACGGCATTGACAAAGAACTTTTAAAAGACAAATTTACCTTAATATTCTTGCTAAATACCCTTCCTATTATACTCATTAAAGAGTCTTGAAAACTACATTTCTACAACCTATGATTTGCCTTTCAATCCTTACAGCTAGCTCATGCTCAGTGTTTGTAAGCATAGAAGGCAGGTAAACAGATCAAAACTTGATGAAGTTTATAGGATTACTTCAGAACAATGAAGCTCTAGATCAACAGGACATCTTCCCCCACAATCTGTGACATCCCTTACACACTATTTCCATTTCAAAATTATGCTGCAAGAGGCAGAAGGCAATAGATGAATAATGAAATGGTGGAAACGGAACAAAGCAGCGTTGGACCGACAACGGTCTTCCACAGTAACACTGTCATTTTGTCCGTAACCTCTTGAATAAAAATTAGCTCTATCATGTTAGATGCAATCTTTGGAGCAATTTTTATCCACATAAGAGTGAAAAAACCAGTGGTAGCACAACTTTCAAAGGACTTCCCTCACACACAACGTAACAGGAAAATTATCCATGTGTGCCCCCCCTCCACTGCAAATGCTCACTGGAAATCCCAAAGGAGCTTAGTTTATCAGTGATAGAGGATGGAGTAACATCTGACAATTCAGCATGTGGATAGACCTCTTCTTGCCTCCATTCTGGTTACCTTGCTTTGGAGTGATGTTTTGGAAAATTAAGCATGATAAAGACACAGTGCTTCCTAGGCTCCAATTTAAGGATCTGACCAAGTGCTAGTTTCAATGGAAGCTGTAAAAATTACTTTCAAACCTCAAGTCAAGAGACCTATATGCATATGACTGATTACTAACATCCTGTAAAAGGCTGACTTTCATGGGGCACGCACAAATTCACTACAGATACGATGCTCTCATCTTTCCTTTCCGCAGATAGCCATTTCTCTTTTGTCTTCTCCAGATGAATTCCAGAATCCATTATGATTGTTTCCACTAATTCATAAAAAAAGAAACACAGGAACCAACACAATGGTTTGTGGAATATTTCCGTGTGTCCAAGACTGAAATCATAAATAGACTAAAAATACTAACTTCTACAGAAGACTAAAACTGAGGGAGACTTGGGTTGGGACCATGCCCAATAGACTGAAAGCTACTGCTACAGCTACAGCTCAGCAGCTACTAGAAGAGAGGGTACAAAGAATCAGTTTGAGTTATCATAACATTCAGAAAATATGGCATAATTCATCTTGGGGAAAAAAAGTCCTTTAGGAGTGAAAACCTATGGCAATACATAGTGGAGAAAGGGTAATTAAAATAGTAAAGGAAAGAGCACAAAAAAATCAGGTAATAGATTCCATCCCTGATCAGACTGAATGGCAGGACAGCTATTACTAGATGATGTATGAAACAGGAGCGCTTAAAGTGCAAACATACAAAACCGAGCAGAGCATCACTAGGATGAACTAAATGAAGCCAGAGTGGAAAAGTTGACCAGCATTTTCAGATCTCTCTTCATGATTCTTTTAAGGTGAAGCATAATTTAGGCTGAAAACTGAAATAAACAAACAAAACCACACTCTTAACTAAATGAGATTCACAAATGAAAAGGAATTAACCAAAAGCTTTAAACCTCCCTAAATAATAGCCCTACAAACCTATAGGTCCTTCAGCTTGAGGCCAATACATTTACTGCCTCCAACAGCCTAGCTAATAGGGACTTTCAAGATGTCCTACAAACACAATTTCTTCATTCACCTCTACCTATGTCAGCTCATGCTCCAAACAACAATTCAAATTAAGTTCTGGCAGAGATAGCATAGCTACTTTAAAAATCACTAACAATAAGCTGCTTGCCTAGTAATATTAACTAAATAACATTTTACTCTTCCAGTAACTGATTCCCCCCCCCCCCCCCCCCCCAACAAAAAAAAAAAAAGCAGCAATAACGAGGACAAGTTCTCACTATAACCAAGGAGATACAATACAGGTTCGGAATCCTGGCCTTTTTAATTGGTAAAGACGTAGAAAAAAGATGCATTAATATGCATCTCAACGTTATTTTTCCTGATGTTCACAGTGGTCTGCAAAGGCACATTCCCCATTCCAAAGGATTTCAAAGTTCAGTAAAACTTTTTTTCAGTATTTTCTTAATGATAAGTAAAGAAAATATTTGTTATAGAAGAATTTCAGTCCATACCAAAGTCTGCTAGCTTCAATTCTCCTTTCTCATTAATTAGTAGATTTTGTGGCTTCAGATCTCGATGTAACACCTTTCTCCTATGACAGTACGCCAAGCCACGAAGAATCTGGTATAAAAATAGCTACAAAAGAGAACATTTATAGAAGTTAAGACTGAACATATTAATCCACAGACTACTTGTTATTCTAGCAGCCCATCTGGGGCACTGTAGAGTTAAACCTCTGTATTGTAAGCAAGACAAAAATCCATCTCAAAAGGTAAGTTTATTTTTCATATGAACACATTCTGAGTATCTCCATTATTGTTTAGAAATCTAAAACTCTTTTATGCTAATGCACTGCTTTTACACAATACTTTAACACAATGGTTTTAAGAGCAATTCATTCTGCATGACAGAAGAGAACCAAAGAGCTGTTTCTTTTTCAAATCAGTATTTACCAGTGTTCTTCCCCCACACTGCTGTCTTTTTAGGTAATGGTCTCTGACTAGAAAGTCTTTTCAGCTACAGAGTCCCTTCTTAAAATGTAGCTCAACATCCTTATCCAATTGTGCAAAAACTATGTAAATAATGTTTTTGCAGGCTACTGGAAAAACACACTTGGATTCATGAGTTCGTGAAACACAGAGAACTGGGGAAATGAGGATTACCAAAATAGCGTGACTGTTTCTGGCATTTGTGTTCATCTCCTCACCTTGACACTCACAGGTTTATTTTAGTCCTTTGGGATGGCAAGCCAACCAAGGAACTGCAGTCATGCATATTAATACTGCATATATATAGACAAACACATAGTAAAGAGGTGGAAAAAAGTTTAGCCAAGCCAGTTTACTATATCATTGCTTTAATAAATAGTACTTTGCAATTTCTGCATGCACAGAGGGCCTGCGCTTGAACACAGGACTTCCGAGTAGCTATCGACGGCATCAGCTACTACACAATAGCTCTCAGCCAGTAAAGGTGAGCAAATGGACAATGAATTACTGAACAAAAAAGGTAGAGTGTTACAAACAGTAGTAAGTTTAGCAGCGTGACAAACTCACCACATAACAGGGTTGTTGAGGAGAACGCTGGAATGTTTTTATACGATCATTTTCTAACACATGAGCTTATTTTTGTGCCAGATGACACCCTCAAATTCTTTTTCCTAAACTAGACAAATACCCAGCAGGTGTATCTTACATCCATCTGCTCTCAGTCTGCTTATATGGGATTTATCTACCCCAGAAAAAGAGAAATTAGGATTGTGGATTTTTTTTCTTCTTCTTCTTTTTTTTTTTTTAAAGAGCAGAATGAGAAGCAACAAATTTTGTTCCATCTGTTCATACCCATACTGTTGCAGGGGTAGTCATTCACAAGTGATTTTAACAGCACAGCTGTGGAAATCAAGAGCCATCTCTAGCGCACACTGGGACAGCAAGGATTGGTCAAAAAGACAGAGCAGATAATCTTGGATCTTCATCATAGTTAGCATGGATCCTTTTGGAAACGCACAGGACAATACATGAGAACTTCAAATTTTGTTTGAAACAGTCATATCTGCAGAGGTCACAAGTATTATATTATCCATCCTCATCTTATTAAAAACTCAAAAGCCTACAATAGCTGAAGAATGTGAATGAACGGATGAATGGGGAGGTCTCTCTAATATTAATAATGATCCCAGTCCCTACAATTACCATCAAGCAAGCGTATACAGCCACCACAGTTAAGCAGCTAGTTTGATTCTCTGGTGCCAGAGGTGCTGACCATGACAATCTGCATTTAGGACATAGTTTAAACCATAGGCAAAATAAGGAAAAATACACTTTCTCTGCTTAGCTAGGATTATCACTAGCAGATTCCTCCTGTTCTCTAACTGCACTTACTATAGAAGTATGCTTTTGTTTTTTTGTTGGTTTGTTTGTTTTGACAGTTTAAGTTTAAAGCACTTTCTGGTTCCATAAATTGCACACTGTATTTCACCTTTTATGTAGTTAATTACAGATAGAAGCCTAATCATGTTTTTTGTTTTCTCAAATCAAACAATTTCCCTTCACACACACTCAAAGGAAGCAACATGGTAGGTTAAGGGTATATATCTTTTCTTATTTTCTCTAATGTGACAACAGAATGAAAGAGAAACCTAACCAAACAGTAATCGATAACCAGATTGAATCCCATAAGCACTTCAACAAAGAACAGATTACACAACACGCTATTAAGGCAAAAAGAAGGACAACAACTCTACTGGAACTAACAACATCCCTTACATTAATTATCTATAGCTTAATGAAGATGCTTCAATGGCCTGTCCAGCACAGGCCACAGCATAGCGGGGTAATGCTGTTAACCCAGCCTCCTTGGACAAGTTCACTCATTTCAAGATAGTATTTGCCCTGTTTGGAATCTTGTTTATAAAGCCATCAGTTTTAAAAAAAAATCTAAACAGTTATTCTCATCTTCTAAATCAAAACCTGCTTGTTAAGAGCGACTTATGCTTGAAATGGAGGCAGTTTTGCCAGGCCAGACTTGAAACTGAGTCACTGCACCAGGCCACAGCTATACCTAAAAGTAACAGACAATTAAACCTCAAGAGGAACATCGCTGATTCTTAAATACATATTAATAATTCCTTACTTGTGTGATGGGCTGTGGCATCCAAACCCTCAGTCATGACTCAGACCACATTTTCCTTGGCACGTACACAAATTCTATTTGAAGATAAATCTAACTAAAGACTGACTTCAATAAGTGAGGTAAAAAATAACGGAAGGACAGAAGGGGTCAACACTGTTATGAATTTATATTTTTCGGAAACTTTTATGTAAAAAAATAAAACTTCAAAGAAAATGAAATCTTATGAGAAGTGGTATAATCTCCTGTTTTAAGTGTTTCAAACACTTAAAAGCTATCAAAACTAAACAGAATGATTCCCACTGACATCAAACGGAGTTGAGCCAGACCCAAAGGTGGAAAAGGAATTTATGTTTCTTATTTAAAAAAAAAAAAAAAGCTCCAAATCATATAACTTGTAATAAATAAGTTTTCTAAAAATCTGAAATCAGAATAGAAAAAGCTGGCAACCAGTCACTACCACTAAAAACACTCACCTTCACATTGTGCATGCTCATGATGTTACCACAGTCATCCATGTACTGCTTCAGGTCCTTGTCCTGTCAGAACACCACCACCATTGTTCATAAAAATTTTGGACAATAAATTATATGCATACTATTTATTGTTAGAACTGGCAAAGAAATCAGCCATCAGAAAACAAAGCAAGGTATGTAATTCCAGTCACTTGCCTGAAAAGGATGCAGCATAAAATGATTTATCTTGAAGTATGCTTTTTCACTTAGAAAATTTGTGAAAATTGTGTCATAACAGAAAAATACCATTGGGTAATAACGTAATTATGTTTTTTGTTAATGATTTTGGTACAAGCAGACCTTTTCCTCAGAAAGAGGAAAGGTAGCTCACATTAATTGCTACTAATAAAACTTTGAAATGATCAGAACAATATTTACTAATTTACAGTAATATTACAACTGAATACACTTTTACAATTTTCAGTTCACTCTAGATGCAGAAGAAAAATATTTACAATGACAGCATTTTTAAAAAGATGCCACAGACTTCTGATATGTCCATTTTACTTAGAAATAATATTCTCCAAGGAGACGCATCAAACTTATAAGCCCAGTAGTTGTTTCAATGCTTACCAGATATTCAAAAACAAGAGTCAAAGACTTGTCCGTGTGAACAATATCATGCAATGTAACAATATTTGCATGTTTCAGATCTTTCAATAATGACACTGCAAAAGAGAATTTTAAGTTTATACTTAAAATCAGGAAACGTGCAATAGATAAGCAATAAATGCAGTACTACTAGCACATTGATATGTATAAAGTATCTGCTTAATTTTTAAGATTAAAGAGAGATTCTACAAAACACAATATTCATATAGCATTAAGTTAACCCAAGTATACAAAAGGTATTTAACCATCAAACATACACTGGAGAAACCTGTAACGGGAGAACTGTAAACATTTCCTAAACCGTACATTTCAGGCAGAAGTAGTCATTCCTAAAATGTATTCGGAATCCCTGGAAGCCGCTCGCTATATATGCGTAATTCAGCATAGAACCATCCACATCTCAAATAGTGTGTTTGAGAACACAACCACCACCCATAAAGTAAATTCATTTGAAACATTTAACACTTAATTTGTCTACATTCCAATTTTCTTCATCAGAAAGTACATCAGTTTCTTTAATCCCCCATGCAGCCAATGTATTTCCACCAAGAGTACTTTGTTTGCACAAAGAGAAAGCCAGAAATATCTGAAATTCTTATTATTTCAGAAATATCTGAAATATCTGAAAGTCCAAAAATTATCACCTTCTCTTATGGCTGTGCATGGTGCTCCCTCTTCATGTTCCAGCCGAATTTCTTTCAGCGCTACCAGGTTCTCTGTCAACTTACTTCTCCCCTTATAAACAGTTGCATAAGTACCCTGAGCAATGGAAAAAGAAAGAAACTTTTAGAAGCTGTTCCTTCATTGAAGGATCAGTTAAAAAGAAAATATAAACTTTTATCTGAACTCATAATAGGTTTCATTTTGGATAGGATTAGTTTTTATATTTTCTTCTTTTGAGACAAATAAAAAAGTAATATTTGTTGTAAACACAGAAGGCACAGGGGATGCTCTGAAAATTACATTCTCAAAAGCTTTGGAGAATATATCTACCGAAGACATTTGATCAGGTAGCGTTAGTTAAGTTCATGAGGTTCACTGCTGGGATAATTTACCATCTTGGAAGGCTATATTTTGATTAAAACTGGCTCAGGCATCTTTACACTATGCTGCAGCTATTTTTCCAGAAAACATAAAATTCTTTTTGATAGCTCCTTATCTTTGTTAAACGTTTTCTGTAAGAACATTTGAGGAGGGGAATCAAATCTGCATTTTTGTTGATAGAACAAACAAGGAATATCATGAAGCTTATCTTTTTCAACTTTCTTTACTTAGACAATAGAAGACTCAAAGCTCTTTTAAGACATTTTACAAAAAGAGAAGAAATACTGACTAAACAATAAATTTGTCTAACTAATTCCAGCAATTGCAGAGAGGAAGCAATACTGAGTTACAAAAGCTGCCTTGGGCTAGAGTACACATCTTATACTGTTTGTTACATTTACTCAGTAACGCAAGTGAGATAAAATAGCTGCAACTAGGACTTGCTAGCGATTAGATTAATATTCCCCAAAGATACACAACATTACACTGTGCCTGTTGAGCCATCTAACAAGTAATAGAGGCAAAATTAAAAAAAGATGCATTTGGAAATAAAAACAGTGCAAATGGAGAACTAACTCAATATTCATAGCGCACACATTGATCAGCCCTGCTTCCTTCTGCAACGCTTGGTGCATCCCAGCCTGGTGCTCCTCCTTCATTTCTAAACCCACTGGTCAATCTCAATCAAATTGTATAGAACCTAAATCTACCCCCTCCCCCCAATTTCTATGATTTCTCTGAAAATCAGCAGCTAGCTGGGAAGGAGAAAATCCAGTTACTGTCCTCCCAGAAGAAAAGGCAAACAGACCTCTTCCCCAGCTCAGAGGGGTTCTGCCTGCTTTTTTATTTTGTTCTATAAGCACAGAACATTTGCGTGGCTGTGACATTGTTACATATAGTAAATACGTTCGGTTTACTGAAAAGAGAAATTCAATAGGCATTTCCAAGCATGTAGATATTTTCAGTTATCATTTATGTAAAATTTTACATAAACTTCGCTATCAAAGCAGTAAGCATTTCAAACAAAAGCTATACACACCTCTCCAAGCTTTTCTAACTTGATATAGGTTTCCATTTTTCCAAATCCAATTTCTGACTGCAATAAAAAGAAATGGCAAATTGATCATTAAAATTAGTGACACTCAATTTACACATCATTTAATCAGCAAGCTAAACTTTGTTTCAGAAAAACACCTGATAAGACTAGAGCAAACACTGCAACATTTCACTGTTTTAAAAATAAGTTAGCTTATTATATAAACGTCTCCCTGCATCCAAGCCTAATGCTCAATCTGTTACTCCAATGTGTCTTCTGGGAGGGCTAAGTACTGAATTACACTTGGAACAAAACTCTACTTTATCCTTCTTCGTACTTAAATCTTCTCCACTCTTCTGATTTGATTAATACTAATGAGGTTGCTATAGCTTAAAGTCATCTCAACCTGTTCCATTCTTTCTCTTGCTTAGCAGATCCATATGCTGCAGTTTCTTTGGAAACAATTTTCATTACCTATTTTCTTTCTGTAAGTTTCTCTAACACATTTCTTGAAGACTTCAGCTCCAGGTTTCCATTCTGACCTCTCAACGCCTCTTCAGCCTAAAACTCTGCCAGTAAAATCCTTATACATCATTCTGCCCTGTGTCATCTTTAAATCCCTCCACAAACTTCAGCTTTTTCTCAACAATTAAAGTTTCATGGCCCATGCCTGCAAGACTCCACATATTTGAGTACTTCTTTTTTCAATTGCTGATTTTCCCTCTGCCATGCAAGTCAGGTGGCATTGTCTGCCTATATCTTCAACAAACACCTTCTTCTGAAGGTGTCTGTAAGATCATTAGTTCTTTTCTTATTCAAATCCACTGCTACTCATACATTTAACACAGTTACCTCTTACAACTATTTTCATTTAAGAACATTCTCAATTACATTAAGCCTTTATATTGCTCTTACAATATAAACAACGCTGGAAGTATATGCCAATTTTGAAACAGATTTACAAAGTGCTTATAGTCTGTACACTGCCAAAATCCATAGGCATCACGGGGTTTTGCTTTATTGACAACTAGATACACAGGAAGATAAAAAAGCCAAATTTTCTCCTTAGGATCACTGATCCTTCTTCCTTCCACTTCCAAACATAGTTCTCCATTTAATATTTCTTTCTAAGGAAAAATACTTTCACACCCGACTGACTTCAGCACTTGCTTCCACAAGTCAAAATATGCTGATCTACTCTTAAAATCCTATGGATATTAAAAGTATGGCATATAATTTCATTGTGCATAACACTTGATATGTAAACACTCTTGACTGAATCAGAAAATGGCAAACAATTTTTGTTAATATAGTATTAAGTAATTCTGTTTTATTAAATTAGGATTAGGATTGACATGTTTTAGAACTGCATAAGGATACTTTGGCATCATCTTTAAGAGCTTGGTGAAACCAGGCTGTTTATCCCAAGATACTCGCAAAGTTAGTATTCTGACAACCTTTTAACTCTGGTGAGGTTTTAAGTATATCAATGATATGGTTAGAGTGTGAGTAAAAAAAAAAAAAAAAAAAAAACCAACCATGTTTTCAAAGTGTATTTTGAAGTACTTAAACAGATGCATCTTAAAGTGAATTTAGATGGTAATAAAAACAAAAAGATGTGTTTGCGAGTTCAGAGGAGCAACAGAACAAGAACTCGCAACCATGGGTCTTGTTTTTGCCAGATAGTCTGGAGTATAACTGTTAAAAGTTTCATTTCTTAGAACGCTTAATGCTGTTCATCAAGAGTAATAAACTTAAAATCTTCTTTAGACTATAAAATCATATAGTATTTCTTACTTATAGAGCGTAGACATGCACTTTGGCATCACTCTATCACATTTCAGTTGACCACTACTCAAAAGAAAAACTAGTTTTTAGATCCTTCAAACCAAGTAAGGTTTCATTTTTCTTTCAAAGTCATTTCTGAAAAATTTTGGTTTTTTTTTCCTGCAATACGCATCTGGCCATCTTGACTTACATGGAAATGTTAATATATCTTATTAACGGTCTCTTATTTCTAAGGGTCGATGCATAAGAGATGCACACGTTCTGCTGCACATGCAGTATTGTACTTGCATACCCAAATATGCAATTACTGAAAAAGCTATTTTTTTTTGTTATATTTCAAGGAAATACACCATATCTAAAATATAACAAGTCCTCACCCAGCACTTTTTACTGCTTTTTTTGCTTTAATTTCTACTAAGCCTTGAAAAGAGACATGCCTTTGAAAAAGAGCACAACATTCATATATCGTAATTACTAGTCTGCTAGCAACCTTTCAATCACAATCCAACAATAATGAGTTGGATTTTATTTTTTTAAAGGTTAGTTTGAAATAATGAAAGAGTAATGCAGCCAATGCATGCCTGCATGCCACAGCACTGCTGGCAGGCTTTATTTGGACTTTTAAGCCCTGAAAGCATTTTTAAAAGGCAAAACAAAACAATCTTGTGACAGGAAGTTGATTCCACACACTGATCATATTCATTAGAGGGCACTGTTTTTCTTTCTTTCTTCTGGAATATAAAGAGGAGAGAACTTCAACTGCACTCACTTTAGAGCTCAGTGTTAACTAAGCAAGGGAATTTAAACACACAGGAAACTCTTTCCATCCTCCCAAACTATATTAGAGTCCAACACTGAAAAGGGTATATTCAAAAGGTTATTTCAACACACCAGATTCCAAAAAAGAGAAGTTTTGGGAAATATATTCTTCAGTTCAGTGCTAAATCAGTAACTCAAGTAAGTGGTTAATGATCTGCAAAACTCCGAAACAAATATTTGAACTCGCTACATCGTTACTACTACTTACAGTACTTTGATCCAATCTTTATTTATTATTGTTCATGTAAAAGGCAACACACAAATCAGAGCTTTAGTCTGTAACTGTTGCTTGTTCAGGGGAAAAATACATGATAAAACTCATAACCATTGATTTTATTTTTAATATACATTATCAATTCAGGAAGAGTAAAACAAGGATATTTCACAGTTAACTAAATTAATTCTGCATACACGCATTCATATTTATTTTTCAGCAAATAAGCCATTAAATCAATAAAACAAAAAACTAAGTGGACTTTATAAAACTACCCAGTTTTTCTAAACAACGCAATGAATTCTCACCAATGACTTTGCTCAGAAAGTCAGTAATGGTCTAGAGATTCTTTAAAATCTGGATTAACAGTAGGAAAGACGATAGATCAGTTTTGATTGGAATTTGATGTTTTTTGTGAAAATAAGACCACAGCATTTCTTAGACAATTTCAGGAATGTTCAATTCTAATTAGAAATCCAGGACACTTCTGTATTTATACTGTAATTAGAAACATAAGAATCTGCCTCCCCCAGTCTACAAGGCAAGACTTTCCTTTAAAAGAAACCCAATAACTTCAAGTGGTATATATGAATTAATTAATATCTTTAGGAATTCATATACACTTAAAAAAACCAAACACACACACACACAAATTATCATTCCAATAGCAAACTAACTGTTAGAAAGAAAACTTGTTATAAAACACCAACAGAAAAAGGAAGAAGAGTGCCCTTCAGATTATGCTGATTTAGGGATTTCCTACTATAGCACACAGGAGCTGCAGCCTTGATCTAAGACTATGCAGACTGACCTTTTCCCAGACAGATCATCCCTGCTCTAAAGAGCTTATGGATCTAAGTATACCCTTTTGGAGCTCAGTTTTGCCACTGCTTTCAAGGGACCAAGACCCCTCATTGCGAAATGACAGGGCAAAGTTTGCAGAAGAGAAAGGAAAGAAAGGGTGACATTCTCCAATGGATTTTGGTAGATGCTCAGTACACATTGAAAGTGCTCAATCTTTCAGGACATAGAAGCCCAAGGTGCAAATGAAGATGAACCTTACCTATGCTATAGGGACATCTGCATTAAATAGAAACCTAAGACAGAAGAGGTTGGTTTGGCAAGGCAGATATATCAGACTTACTAGCGATGCTCTACGAGAGCGTCGACTCATTGGTTGATCAAACGGGGGGCTGTTAATCTGCAACTTTTCAAGATAGCCATCAGGTATCCTGATGTCAGCAGGCAGTGACAAACGCTTGTTCAGATCCTGAAGTAAATAACATTAAAAAGAGAAGCATCAAGCAAACTTCAGAATTTTCTTATCATGTTTTTATTGTTTTAATATCTGTAGCGTTATTATTACTAAAGTGTTACTATTTAAAACTGAAATATTTATATGAATGAAAAATAAGTAATCTTACGGAAATGTTTGTTTTTTAAGAATACATTATATAATGCTTATCAAATTGCTTCAATAGCAGGTTCAGAAAAGTCAATGTTTTACAAATTCATTATGTTAGCAGAACAAGAGGAATGAGATATTATAATTAATTACACTGAGGATAAATATACTGAATTTACCTGAATACTTCTAACTGTCGGAAATACAGAAAATTGAGAAATCAGAGGCTGGTAAATACATTTCTTTTCATATAATAATTAAATTAGAATAACAGGAGATCTCCACAATTCAAAATGTATCACCCCCCCGTCTTTCTTTGACTACTGAAAGTTTTAAAGTTTCTTCATCTCCCATTTTTTCAGTCTTATAAACAGAATCATTTCATTAATAGAACGAAACTATTAAAAAATACTTTTTAAAAATTTCAAATTCTTTACTACAGGACCTTTAGAAAACCAATCTGAAAGTACATAAATGCCATTTTCCTTAAATCAGACTCTGTGCAAGTAGTATTCATCAGCAAATTTTTCAACAATATGTATCATTTCTAAGACCAAAGGGAACAAAATGACTTCACCTTTCAGCAAACTTGAAACCAAACACAATTTTGTGAGACTGCACATTCTCACTATTTTTGTACTTTTAGTTTGGCCTTAAACTCAAACATGTCAGAAAACGAAATACCAAATATTCTCTTCAAGTGGCCAGTCACCATCACAGAGCTACATGGAAAATATATCCAGACTCACAACAACAGAACGTAATACCTAAAACAAAGGACTTGCTGTTCAGCGAAGGTAGTTTAATCTAAGTAAAGTCACGCTCAATATCAAACTGAACAATCCACCTACACGCGTCCTACCCTGAAATTAAAAGAGCATCTCTGGAACCACCAGTTTTTGCACTTTTCTTCAGCAGAAGAGGTAGGACAGCTGGTAGACCCCAGATTTACTCAGTAACAACCTGACAGGAGTAGGGATGCTGTTGATGTTACTCTCTCTCTTATCTATCATCTCAAGCTTTGATTTCTGGGCATCCTAAACTAATCTAAATGCTGGCAGCTACATGCCCAGGCTGTTCCCCCTAGTCTTGGCCATGTGTTTCTACTCCTGTCTTTGCAGCAGCTTTGAACTATTTCAGCATGCTAAATCATTGGGAAACTATCTCACACGGAGCGCGTAGCTTCCTGCCAGCTTTGTGCTCTGAGCAGGTTCAGTGTAAGGTCAGACACGCTTGGAGCGGGAACGACCGAGAGGACAGAAAGCCACGGGCTGAAGAGGCAGCAGTGCAATCCCAGGAAGCCAGCCATTCGGCTTAGGCTCTCAAAGACCTGCATCATCAGACTTTTAAGGACTTGAGATCTTGGTGGTCAACTTGGCAAGCTTTCAGTATTCATAATGTATTTCAACGGTGTATATGCATGAACTGTTCATGTATCTGAAACAACAGCTGAGCAAAAAATATTATTTTAAAATACATTAAAAAAAATGAATCAAATCCAGCAATCGAGTTTCTGGTAGGACGGAAATGCTAATATGCACTCCCACCCCCCCGAAATGACAGGCGTACACAGGCTATTCACTATTGCCTCTGGGTACGGACAGAAATTCTTCTTGGAGAGATGCCACTGAAGCTTGAACTTCTGGCAGTTGACTCTCCTGTCTTTTCTTTCACTCCTCATACCTGCTTAAGTACAGAGAATAAAATCTGTTAGCTTGCTCTTTGCAGCCCAGCATCAACTTCTCTGCCTAAGTGGAAAATTCAGTGTCCGTATTTCGTACAAAATTCTTAAACTGGACCCACAGCCTTTAAACAAAAAAAGTGTTGTTGACGTACTGACTGAAGAACAGAGAATGGCAGCTTTGATCACCATTTGGAAGACTAATTAAAAGAAAACAAAAGGATCCCTCAGTTTTGGCAGCTTGCTATTTCTTTACTCATTTTCAGCTTCTGCATTTCACAGTTTTTAAATCACTGGCAATTTTAAAACTGCCTGTGTGGTTTCAGGGAGAGTTGAGGAACTAATTAATTGTAACGAGAGCTAGTAGCAACCCCTTCATTAAAACAGTTTTTTCCATTACAGAATTGGCCTTTTTTCTTTTTGGAAAGCGCTGTTAATGCAATAGGCAACTGAAATTCAGTTCAGATTGAGTTAGAATCGTCTGAAGGAAGAAATACCTCCCCTCTACCCCAATGGGCTTCAGCTTATTTAAAAAAACACTTCATGAAAACAAACAAAAAAACCCATCCTATTATTTAGTGCATTCTTCAGAAAATGCAGGTAGCACATCAAAATGAATGACCTCAAAGGAAGGAGTTCCCTATTGCCTGAAAGGAAGCAGCTGGTTCCCCACACTGTAGCGGCAACTCCTAGGAACTGCTGGGACAAGATAGAGATGGCAGAAAGAGGACCTCCCAGGTCCAAAATCCCAGATCCAACAGTTGGGCAATATCCTGATTTTCTTTCTCCCATTCCTCAAGAACATAAAGCAAAGCAGAAGTTTGCCAAATCCCAAGATGGCAGAAGAAAAAAAACCGCTGGGCTGAGTTTTTCAGTGTAACCTGAACACAGCAGATGCCATCATTAACCTGCATATCCTGTGGCAAAATAGCTTTCTCCTACTCCTAGCTATTAACTCTAGTAGCAGGGAAATCTGCTGTAATGCTCCTATTGCTCTTCCATAGTGCTTATTTGACAGCCAGTATTTTAACGGAGTCTCTTTATACGTATACTCAAATCACGGACCACCGCTCAGAGGCCTCATGAAACGCTGATGGGGTTGATTACACCCCGGAGCTCACTCTTTACCTTCTCTCCTCGCACGGCCCTCGTCCTTCAGGCAAAGAGAGCGCTGCTTCGCAACTAGTCCTACTGCCTTGAAGAAGCATTTCCAGGCGCATGAAGTTGAATGGTATGTAAAAAGAAGAAAGCTAAAGCAGCCTTAAGCTCTAATGGCAGCCCTCAAACTGTGGCCATTAAAAAACTTATGACGCTTTACGGCTCTAAAGGATCCACTGTTTTGGAGTCCAGAAAGCAAAGGAACACAACTACTGGTGAGGTTACTGTACAGACTGGAGATAAGAATATTTTAGGTACAAGAAAATGTATAAAGAAGAACTTTTAAAAATTACCATCTCTTCAGCCTCCCTATTACTTACTTCAGAGAACCAGGTGACTTATCCTCCGTTCTAAACTGACTTAAGCTGTGATTTGGTGTTCATTGTGCCCCACAAAACATAATATAGGTAATATTTGAATGTCAGTCCTTACTGATGCAAAGGCCAAAACCTGACCCAGTCGGGGCAGGGGTGGGGGAGGGAACACCAACATAATCTACTTTACACAACCCCCAGTCCCTCCCCTTGCCCAAATGTGTTGCTTTAAAACACAAGCACAACCTCACAACCCGAGGGGAAGAATGGGGAGAGGACAGCTTTTTCAGGATCATAATCTGTTTTTAAATATAATTTCTACACTGACACCTGTACATAATGCACAATACATAATGGTTACCAGTCTTTTTTCCCCCCAAATGAATACTTAGTGCTGGTAGCCTGCAACTCAGGCATACTGGAAACAAAATGAAAACACTACCCACTCTCTTAAACTTCTCAGAGAGAGTCTCTCTTCTGTGAGGAAAACACAATGACTTAATGGAAACTGCAGCAGATACTGTGTAGATTTTTTCCTCTGATCATCTACGCTACTGTTCTTGCAATACTCAGGCACGTGTGGTTGTGTTGCAAGGCCTACAAAACCACGACTTAAAAAAAGAAAAAAAAAAGTCCTATTTTGAAATTTTTACCTACCACAGTCAGAAGCCTTTTATGACACCAGTATTCCAAAGTTTACATAAGGTTACTTATATGAAGTCGACTACTATCATTACTAGTAGTTTATCTAACTACTTAAAAAAGGCAAAGTTAAAGAAAATTCTTTAGACTGCACACCCAAATACCTGAAAGACAAGAATTACTATAGTTTGTTTGCCTGTGCCACCTTAATTCCACCCAGTTTTTGCAATAAATAAAGCAACCCATCTCACGGAAAAAAATGCAATCGTAATTAAACACTACGCAGCAGTATGAAAGGGGATTCATTGGAAGCGCATGACAGAAATACATAGTGTTTCCTAGCAGCTAAGTAGCAAAATTGGAAACTAGAATTACATCAGTTTGACACAGCTGAAAAACCCAGGAACTTAACGGAGATTACATAAAAAAGAAAAACAAGAAAGAAACCTCTATCATACAGCAACCAATTTTGTACCTGGAGCGTTTAAAGACTAGGTAGTCTGCTGACACAGGCAACCTGATTAACTGGCAGCAGCCAAAGACCACAAAATTTTCCACAAAAGGTAAAGTATGTGCTGGGCAGTAAAGACAGCTGGGGAAAATAAGCCCATTTCTTTGCTGGCCGTAAAGTCCCTTTATGGACAGGACTCGCAGGCCAAGCGTTAGCCTTGGCACACGGACATGTCCAACACCATCCCCATCATCTTCCCTCCCTCACGCTGCTCTTGCAGCACTTCCTTGATGTTCCCACCGCGGTCTTGCTACTGCTGCTTCAGCAGCACCAAAACCCTGCTCTCTTGAATGCTGCTGCTCATTGTTATTTCGGCACGGTGCCAAACTGCTACAGAGGAATGTGAGCAACAGGAGGAGATGGTGATTTTTCTTAAGAACGTCTAATTCTCTTAACCCTCTGGGGAATTCCAGGAAACAATGGAAAAAGACACGTCTCTGGATAGAGGACTTTATCCAGCCTAATTTCAATGACCAATCGACTCTAATGAAGTGTCAGCATTTCTCAAGAGAAAGACCACAAGAAACCATTTATAATAGAAATTATTAGGCAACTTAAA